ACAAAACCAGTCAACCGAGCTCCATATCGTGCTAATCCACGAATGCAAGAGGTCATTGACAAATGTGTTGGTGAAATGGAAGAAGCCGGGATAATCGAACAAAGAGCGAGCCCATAGGGGTCAGCAGTAACGTTGGCAGCAAAAGCTGACGGCAGTCCCCGATTCTGTGTAGACTACAGAGCGACGATCAACAAGAATTTAATTCGTAAATCGTGGCCAATGCCTGAAATGGCAAGTCATATTGACACCGTAGCAGGTGCTAAATACATCACAGTCTGCGATGTACAAAGTGCATACCACCAAATACCAATTGCCGAAGCAGAACAAGAAAAGACTGCATTCGTTACTCGGGATGGAAAATGGGTTTTCAAACGACTCCCCTTTGGCATCGCCAATGCGCCTTTTCTGTTTCAACGTACGATGGCATTGACTTTCGCACATTTTGGTCCAAAGTCTGGTCTTCTTGTGTACATGGATGATCTTATTTGTTGTTCATCTACATGGGAGGGTCATATCTCTCTTTTGGAAAATACCTTTCAAGCGCTACAAGCCGCAGGTCTTACATTAAAACCATCAAAGGTACAATTTGGGCCAAAGGAAGTGAAGTATTTGGGGCATGTTCTTTCCGCAGATGGCATACGATTAGGTGACGATCGGATAAAATCGATACTAGAGTTGCCAACGCCAACGAACATCAAAAGTTTGCGATCAGTCTTAGGAACGGTCAACTATGTCAGGAAATTCATCCCAGACTTAGCCGCCGTTACCGCACCAATGGTTGACCTTACGAAGAAAGACGCAGTGAAGTCGGTAGCGAAACGCTGGGGTTTGAAACATGATAAAGCATTTGCTGAAGTGAAACGTTTACTCACCAACGCTCCTGTTTTGCATTTTCCGGACTTTTCTAAGGAGTTTGTTATCCACGTCGACGCATCTGAAGTGGGAGCAGAAGCATTCCTGGCACAACAGAATGGCGATGACGTCAATATCATAGCGTACTTTACCCAGCGATTCAACAAAAGCCAACAACACTACTCCGCCACCATGAAAGAATGCTACGCTGTTGTTCTAGCAATTCAACACTGGCGTCCTTATTTATGGGGTAGACATTTTACGTGCGTGACTGATCATGCGGCATTGCGATATCTTTACACGATGCAAGACACGTCAAATATGCTCACCAGATGGGCAATAGCACTGCAATCCTTCGATTTCACGGTAAAACATAAACCGGGAAAGTTGCATGTAGTGCCGGATACGTTATCGCGACTCTTCGTGTTTGAAAATGAACAAGAACGAACTGCGCCGAATCTTGCACCGATTTGCCGAAATGTACCGGACGACCCAAAGCTGCAACAACACATGCCATACAGACCATACCAAGTCTCGATTGACAAATTGGATGATGTGCAACCAGTCCTTAGTGATAGGGAACTGTTCACAATCAAATCAAATTTCGTCAACGCCATGAAGGTATTTGAATCTGTTGATCATGAGAAATTGCGCGAGAAACAAGCCGAAGAATACGGCGAATATGTCCAATACATTTTAGACGCCAAAGCACGGCTACCGGACAACGAAACGGCAACATCAATGTCGTACTATTCCATACAAGACGGACTACTGTTTAAATCGTATCTGCCAGGACACCTACGAAAACGAAGCACTTTTAGTGATCAACTTGTAGTCCCACATGACCTCACAGGTTTAGTGATGCACGCATACCATGATCACGCTCTTTCGGGTGGACATCTCGCATTTCGTCCAACGTACGAAAAAATACGACAAAAATATTGGTGGCAGTGGATGAACCGTGACATACGGACATGGTGCCTAGAATGCCAGGCCTGTCAACGGAGAAAGACACCCCACCGCCGTCCGAAACTGCCGACAGGTCATGTACCTGTACAGCGGCCATTTGAAAGAGTATCAGTCGACCTAGTCGAGTACAATCGCTCTCAACATCAGCAGTCGGAATGAGATGTAAATACGTGCTTTCCATGATGGATCACTTGACGCGTTATGCAATTCTCACACCAGTTCCGAACAAAACTGCTGAAACCGTAGCACGTGTAATCATTGATCGGATTATCAGTATCTTTGGCCCGCCAGAAATGCTACACTCTGATCAAGGCACTGAATTTGAAAACAAGATCATCTGTCAGTTGCAAACAATCTTGGGCTACAAGAAAACACGCACGACGCCGTATCGTCCGCAAGGTAATTCGGTCTCTGAGCGTGTGCATTCAACGATGCATTCCATGCTCGCAATGCATAGTTCCATGGATCGTGACGACTGGGCGGAACTCCTGCCAATGGTTCAACTAGCGTATAATACGTCGTTTAATAAAACCATGCATGAGACACCGTACTTCTTGATGTTTGGTCGCCAAGCACGGTTACCGGTAGATGTAATTCTCGGAATCCCACATGTAGGTTCAACTGGAGATACCGAGAGTTTTGCTCAAAACACACGAGAATATCTACAAATGGCTTTCGAACTAGCGCGAAGAAACCTAACGAAACGTGCAGAGAAGCAAGCTGCGAAAAACGAAAAGTTACCGCAGTACCCCGTCTTTAAACCTGGTCAACAAGTATACCGACCACACCAGGATTCAGATGGGCCAAATCCGAAGCTGTTCTTACCGTGGCGAGGACCGTATGTCATCTGTTCACAACTGTCACCGGTTGTGTATAGGGTGCAGCGAGTAAATGAAACACGAGAAATATCCGTGCACCTTGCCCATCTAAAACAGTACCATTAAAAGGAAAAACCACCAGCACCACAGTATGGAAAACTGGCTGAATATTTCCTTGGGAAACAAATTCCCTTACCTGCCCTGACAGCAAACGACGAAAATCAACCGAAAATTGAAAGATACGTCGTACTGAAAGTGGTAGGGCATCGAAGTGGTCAAGGCCGAAAAGGTCCGCACAACTATCGATATCGTCTAAGACTGAAAGGATACGGTCCTGAATCAGATCTGATGTATCGTGCCGACGAAGTGCCGCAATGCCACGAAACGATTTCCGCATACCGATCAAAACATGATCTGGACATCGCGCCCGCCAAGAAATCGTCTGAAGCGCCGCAGAAAAAAGCGAAGCGCAAACGTGACGAAGGTAGGGATCCGAGTACAAACAAACGCGCAAGGCACAAAGCAAAGCCAACCAAGGCAGGTACTAAGCCAACTAAATGCGTGAACAAGAAAAGTGCTCAGCGGAAAAGTAAACGAAGTCCGAAGGCAAACAAAAGATACATTTCCAAAGTGTCTAAACGGTGAAAGGAATAGCATCCAAACAATAAGGTTGCTATCCAGCATTTGATTGGGTCAAATGCTGGCGAGGAAATGTCAAGTTAACCGGTCTCTAGTGAAATTGAGGGTCGCAACTCGATGACACTACGTGAGTCACGGAAACAGTCTTTAGACTGTCGAACACCGTATGCCTGTTGTATCGTACTCAATAAGCAAAACGATTGCTTACACCCAGCGGTATGGTTACGCGAACCAGAACCCGCACAAAGTACAAATTCTTGATACTTAACAAGAATAAACTTTGACACATCATCATTGATTGACATCAATAACTGGTAGCTTGTACGAGCCTTGGAGAGATTAAATCCGTACGGTGTTGCTTTCAACACGTGTGTTTTCCACACGGCACTGTCAGCTGTCTTCGGATAGTGAGGGAGAGATTTAATTTTCGAAAAGCTGTATCTAGATCCAATGATACATCCATACCTGCTCCACTACAATTAACATGCAAACATGCATGCGCGCCAAAACCCAACTTCAACAAGCTGAGCTTTCGGCGAAGAAAAAGGGGGGCTATGTGGAGGTCAGGATATGGAGATTCAGGGAGTACAGATACACGTACATAAAGAGTAGGATCTGAGAGGATACGTGATAATAGATTACCGTTCTTCGAGGGTCTATGACTCTTACGATTCCCAACGGCTGCGAAGAGTTGATGAATTTTAGGAGAATGGGAAAAGGGTCCACGAAGGTTCGCCCACTCTCCTCGCCACCCTAGCTTGACTGAGTTCGCTCGGTCACGCTTGGTATTCCTCGCCATATTGCACCAAAGGAAATAGCCAACCTCCGGTGGCAGGACATAGCCACCACACTCCCGGACTCTCTGCTCAGCCAGAGTAGAGGTCTTCCATAAAAATGCTTAAAAAAACTCATCATCTAATCCACCAGATGCTTGCCGGGTACTTTAAGTACCTTGACCCGGGGCGACACCAAAACCGAACTGATATCCCTCACACACTCTGGTGTCATATCCTCGGGCAGTAACCTAAAACGCGTTGCCGAACATGCTTAGATGGGCGAAACAACTCACAAGATACTCTGAACTACAAGAACATTGAGTAAACCCCCTTTCACCAAACAAGAAATTAACTTACTGTTTTCGATCACGTTAGCACAAACCACAGTAATCCTGCCCTAGATATACCTCCGGCCTTTTAGCCAGCAGCTCTCTCGGAGTCTACTCGCCGGCGTTCTTCTTACATTGACAAACTGGATTTCCAGTCTACCGCGAACAGCGAGCATTTGGGACAAGAGAACCGACGCACCGGTCTCGTGGTTGCGCCGTGACCCCAAATAGTCGCGAAGCGACGATGACGTCGTAGAGGATCACACCACGGAAGGCGACCACTGCGGGTACTTGGAAAAAATTACCACAACAAAACTGTTGTTGCGTTGCCCCCATGTTGCGAGCTTGCGCTGGTACGCACATGCAAACCAGACCTCGTTGTCAACGAAGCTAATATGCCACAACAGATCGACGCCGATCCTGAAAAAGTCCCCCAAGTTGCGTGCACAAATGGGATTTATTTTTATGTCAGCTACGGGAAAGGGAAAAGGCTTCTCCAGTGGGTAGTTTCGGAATGGTGCATCGCAACCTCGGCATCACCGCACAAAACTGGTGCAAACACAGCAACGTCCGGAAACGCTAGAACGCAGCAGGCCAACCCAAGAAATATTATTCAAAAACCCAGCCCTTCCACCTACCTTCACAGGAACCCCACAACCGTCCGGAAAACTGCGTCATCCAGCTCCACTACCCTGGCCAGCAAACCCCCTAACCCGCGCCTGCGGCTCACACTATCACCCCCACGCCCACCGCCGGCACGGGTCCGGGCTCTAGCCCTGCGGCCTCTCCCCCTCCGACTCGTGGTCGACACAATCCCGGGCAAAGCGCGGCACATGATCAGAGTGCCCCGGCGACGCCACGCCCTGTCTACCGGCGCCTTGTCTAACATGTGTCGCAGGGCTTGACTTCCGTTCGAGGAGCCCACAATCCGGGCTTTGGGAGTGTAGCCTTCGTTGTCGATGGCCGTTTCGTCCGCGCCCCATCTCAGTAGAAGGTCTGCTGTATCATCCGGGTTCAATCTGGGTTTCATACACAGCATGTGTAGTGGAGTCAAACCGTTATCAGATTCTGCGTTGACGTCGGCTCCCTTCCGTAGCAGTTCGGCCATACTGGCCTTTTGGTGATAGGCGGCAACGTGAAGAGGTGTCAGCCCCGTGAATCTGTGCGAATCTCGGAAAACCTCCCCAGATCTCGCTTCCAGATCGGCCCCAGCCTCGAGGAGAGCACCGATCACCTTTGCGTTCGCCCAAGCGTACTTGACAAGAATCGGAGAGAAGTGCCAAAACACTTCCGTCGCAGCCGTGTGCAGTGCCGTGAAGCCGAGATGATTGAATGAGAGGACGTCCGCACCGTACTCAAGGAGGGTCCTCGTCATGGCCACATTCTCGTGTGCAAAGAAAAGCGGTGAACGATCTCTGAGCCTACCGTACCGAGCGTTAGGGTCAGCACCCGCCTTCAAAAGAGCCTCTGCAACAGTGACACGTCTTTTCTTGGCAGCCACGTGGAGCGGACACTTTCCTTTGTTGTTCGCCGCGTTAACATGAGCCCCCCTGCGCAAAAGCGTGCCGACGAACTTATCGTCGTCATGAGCAGCAGCAAAGTGCAGGGGAGTGTTGCCGTCGGCGTCCATGGCTTTGGGGTCCGCCCCCCCAAGCAACGCATCTCCGGCGAGCTGCAGATGCCTGCCTTCGATGGCGTAATGTAGGGCGCTGCGCCCCTTGACATCAAGCAAGCCCACGTCTGCGCCGGCGAGCATCAGTACACGCGCCGCTTCAGTGTGCCCACCAGCAAGCGCCCGGTGGAGTGCAGTCCTTTCGTTGTCACCAGAGACAACGTCCAACTCCTCCACGCCCCCGTTATCCAGTAAAGTCAACACCACCTCCTCGTTTCCTCCTTCGGCAGCCGCCTGCAGTAGAGTGCGGTCGCCACAACCCTCCCAGCCAGCACTCCCGTCAGCCCCGGCTTTCAGTAGGGCCAAGGCAAGATCATTGTCACCTTCGGCCACAGCGTGCTCCAGCGGGGCTCGAAGCCATTCCGACCATTGCGCCGATGCCGCTTTCTCCGATACCAGCTTGAACAACATCTTCTCCAGACCGTTCAAGGCTGTGCGGTCCTCTTCGGCTGCCATGATCCAACGAAATATGTAGCTGTGTCTTCGTTCCACGGAAGCTGCGCAGTGACTCACTAGTCGCGACTCGTGTCGTTGGTCGTTATTGCTGATCTCCTGCAAATGTGGAGCATGCAGCAGCACGGGCGAAGGCATACATTATATCTGCGCAACCTGTTGAGGTCAGGCGCACGAAACGGCGAGGGAAGACAGGAAACGCGAAGAGGCGGACCGAGTGGCGCGAAATCCCGAGCCGGATTGAACCCCTTGCTTGATTTATCCCCCCCCCCCGGTACTGCACCCCCCCCCGGTGTTTGCCGTCGGGGTTTGGGTTTTCGTCGCTTGGCAACGACGTTGTAAAACAAGCCCCCCACTCGGTGTTTGCCATCGGGATTGGGTTTTCGTCGCTTGGCAACGACGTTGTAAAACAAGCCAATTCACTTCGTGAACTCGGCAACCAGGTTACCGTTTTTTTTTTTTACCTCGGTTTTTTTTTTGGCGGTAACCACAATGGTGGTCGAGTAGATCATGTTGTGCGGGGTCGAGAAACCTCACTCCGCGCAACGGGGGATGATCGCACCACGTTGTGTTAAAATGGTCAAGCTTCCTCGAGGCAGTTACACAGTGCTTACAACTGTCTCTGGAAGTGAAAGCACCAGAAAATAAATTAAGTCATACGTAGCTGTCATCCGTACGCAAGGAAGTAAGCACAAGATGCCGAACACCCTTAGCAGGATGCAGCTCACCCTTCATGCGACTCGCCAAATACCTCACGGCGCTTCGCGCTTGGTGATGTGAGAGCCTGGTCCGGTGAGAACCCGGCGTGCTCCGTCGCGGCTTTGTAGGGATGCGAGGTCAATGGTCAAACGACTACGGCATGCACGACTACGAGTACACCCCCCCCCCCCCCCC